ATTTTCATTAACAATTATAATTAGGTTGATTTTATGAATTTTTTTTTAATTTTGAAGTAATACAATTTTTTTTAGAACAATTTTTGTTTTCTTTACAACCTTCATAATTATTTCTTAGTAATATTGTACAAGTTAATGATTATAATTACGATTGTATGAACTATAACTATAGTGGGTGTTTTTTTTTTTTTTTTTTGAAGTTAAAAGCTTACAAGAGTTATAACTATATTCCGTGGAATTCTAACAAATTGTTAAAGGTTGTAAATAGTTCAATTTGAATGGAACGGGCTGTAAAAAGTTCGGTTTAAATAGTTTGTAATCTAATTGGTTTAAACGGGTTGTGGTTTGAAAACAGTTCAGTTTAACAGGTTACAACGGTTCGGTTTAAACGGTTAGCAGTTTACAATGGTTCGGTTTAAACGGTTTTTTCTATGGTTCAAACGGTTTTCAATTTATAAACGGTTCGGGTCAATAACGGTTTATAACACATTCGGTTCGGTTCGGATTGGAGCAGTTCAGTTTGTTATCGGTTTACGGTTCTTGACGAGTTAACATTAATCGATTCAGTTCGGTATCGGGTTGACTATATACGGTTCAGTTCGGTTTTCAGTTTGAAATCAACGATTCGGTTCTTGCTGGGTCGGTTCGATAACGGGCGATTCCATGATTCGGTTTGAAAACTGACACCTCTAGTTATAAGAAACTACAAGCCCATAAAATGTCGTAAGCCGCCTCCTTTTCTCTTTTCTCTCTCCTTCATCCTCTCTCCTCTAGGGTTTTAGCGCTCTAGGTCGTTTAGGTTGGAAATAGTTTAATTTCTTCGGAAAATAGACTAAAAAAAATTAGACTATTTTCAACAGTTTTTCTTTAATTTTTTTTTGGGCTTGACTGTTTGACATCGTTTTTTTTTCAGTTTTTTTTTTAATAAAAAACCAAAAACAAGAAAAAGATGTTTTCACTTTTCCGTTGTCAATTTTAAATATTTTCATGATTTCAATAAGTTTGACTGATTTCATATAGATCAAAGATATATGTTGAGATTTAGAAAGATGTTAGTCATACTTCATCACCAAACATGTAATGTACTCTTATAATTATAAATTAATAATTATCAATCAACTCAAGGACTAATTTTTGATTTATTATATATCATATGACTTTGAAAAAACAAAATACAGAAATCCACAGCGATTCCAAACATACTTGGTTTGCTTTTTGTTTTGTTTTGTTTTGCTTTGCTTAGTTCTCTCCATTTATAAGTCTTTTTTTGAATAGCCATGAATAAGAGTCTGTACTAATTTTTTTGGGTTTTTCCAATTTTTCTAGGATTTTGATTCTCAATTTTAGAGTTTTGATTGATAATAATTGAGAATGTGATTTGAATTCATATAGATTTAGGGTTTGACACCAACTCTACGATCAAAGACATCAAAATTCACTATACGAATCAAGCTTGAAGTAGTGGAATATGAGCTATGCATATGCAAATTAGTTATGATATTGATTGTAAATGTTATGTTAGTCAATCAATCAATAACATAATACTAAAATAGACAACAGGAATAACACGTATCACTTCCCGGTGCTGTCTTTTCCGTCCAACAATTTTTTAAGGAAAAACTTAGATTTTTTTTTTAAATAATTTCACTTATACCATATATATCATAATAAAACCTAAAATTGAGTATCAAATTAATTATCTCAATTACATATAATTATATTAAAAGATCACCTATAACTGTCATATTTCAAAAGATATATTTTTATCGATATAACAAGCCAACCATTACTATAATATGCCAAAATATATATGCATTATACTTTGATTCCGTAATTATGTAAGATTTTATATTTCCATTTTAATTTAATATAAACTTTAACTACTAAGATATTTTATGAAACTTTGATATTTTAAAATAAACTTAAACTTCAGTTCATCTTGTGCGCAGCTGACCACACCATGTGCCCGACTAAAAACTAACAAAGTAATCCCTATGACTTTGATTGAGTAACCCCTATACCACTGATGAAATAACTCATGTAATAATGGTCGTGTATCCTCTATAACACTAAGAATTAATTTACCCCCATCATGGTTGGCCACACCGTGTGACCAACCACATATATAAATGTGTGTTTAAACTCTTGTCAAAAATAAAATAAAAATTAAAACTTAGATATTTTATATAATTTTAATATGGAAAATTCACTCATTTTTATAAGTTAAATTATTTTCACGATTATTAGTGCTCATATTTGTTTAAATAATATGTATACTAAGTATATAATATGCTTATGATAATTAGAAATTTATAATTATAAGAGTACATTACATGTTTGGTGATGAACTATGACTAACATCTTTCTAAATCTCAACATATATCTTTAATCTATATGAAATTAATCTATACCAATACCTAAATATTTATGGATTATATATAGTCAGATGTAATCAGTTCATTTAGTTGTATGACAATTATTGGCCTCTCCTCTCCTCTTCTCTCCTCTTCAATCTCTTCTAGGGTTTTTCCAAATTCTTAGCAATTTAGGCCGAAATAGTCTAATTTCTTCGAAAATTAGACTATTTTCGACCCTTCTTCTTAATTTTCTTTAGTTTTGTCATTTAGATTTCAATAAATCTACACAAGTAGTGTAGATATTCGTCCGTCTTCCTATGGTGGAGTCGTTACTTTTTGTTACTTTAGTTGTTTATTTATGTTTAGAGTTTGTTTGTGTGTTATGTTTTATCAAAAAGGTAATCATCTTTTACTATCAGTTCGTTGGTAAAGATTTTTTTCGGGATCACAACAGGTGTCAAATTTTCAAATGCGTTCAAATTAATCAGATGAAAATCATCCTTACGGCTACAACAAATCGTTAGACCGGCTCTCTTTGAAAGGTTGTATATTCAAGCTATGTGTGCGAGAGATGTACCACGGTGCAGGATCTTTTCAACGGTCATAGCTTTGATGAAGGAAACCCTTGATTCAATTTTATGTGTTTGTTAATTTAGATTTCATTTGTAGATGTCGTATGACTTTTATTAATGAATTGATTTGTTTCAAAAAGTTGTATGACAATTGTGTTATTGTTAATGACACAATGCTTAGGAAAAAATATACCACCTACTACCCTACTGGTGGGTAAAATACTCTACTAGTGGGTAAAATAAAATAGTTGTTATTTTGGCTAGAAAAATTGGTGAGTGCGACTGATAAAACAGGTATTATTTATTAGAATGTTGCCTACTTAAGCAAGTGGTCATATGAAAAAAATATATATATAATTTCGGATTTGTTACCCGCTAGACCGCTACTATGGTTATGTAAATAGATGAATCTACTTATGTTATACAAAGTAGTCTTTTTTTACTATAAGTTTATTTGTATTTCAAAATTGAAATTTTATTTAAACTCTGATTCTATTTATGTTAATTCAGTTGTTGTAATAAAAATTAAAATTTTATTTTGTATTAAAGCTCACATAGAAAGATCATTTTGTTAATGTAAAGGAGTCTATCACTCTGTAATAATGGTGCATCGCACGGGCACTATATATACTAGTTTCTTAAAATTTGTGGTTTACAAATCTTTATTATTATTGTCGATATTGTATTGCTATTCATTAATGATATTATTTCCCGTAAAAAAAAAATTGTGAAATACTACCTCTAACTGGATTTCCCACCTAATTTCCAAGCGTTAGACCTATCTCAAAACACCCCCTCGAAACTAATGAAGTACGCGGTCCGGTTTAGTGCGGTTTGAGGTATAACCCAAATCATACTGTAAAATACGGTTTGACATTTTTCCAAACCAAACCATATTAGGTGTCAAACCAAGTCATTCGGTATGCGGTTTAATAATATTCTAATTTTTTTTTTTTTTGGTGATATTTTTTTACTTCTTTCGTGTTTATATAAGTGAAAAGTTTCACTTGTGTACTATTCCAATGCAACACTTTGATTGATAATATCTTTAATTATCAATAAGTAACAAACTAGGAAAAAATTTCAACAAGTACACACAAAAACAATATATATTCTAATGTATATATGATTCACAAACATTAGTCAAAGTGAATTAGATGAATTGTGCAAAAAATCAAACTGTTTCACTTATATTAACACGAAGGGAGTAATTATTAAAGTTAGCTTACCTTGTATCATCAAAGTTTAACTTGACCAAAAAAAAGACCTAAAATAATAATCACAATAATTATATTCTAGACTAAATGTGTTGTTTGTACAACAAAAAATTTGTCGCCATAAAACAATTTTTTTTTTTGTAAAAAAAAAATAATAAGATAAATATTTAAAAGAGGAGGAAAATCTAGAGTCTTACTCCCTTAACAACCCACCAACAAAAGAGAACAAAAACAAGAATTTTTTTTTTCTTTTTTTTGAGAAACTAATCAATAGTCTATATACTAATACTAAAACAAAATATGCTGACATCATCCATTCCTCAAATTGTACACGTGTCTTTCTCACATGAATTTTTTTTCCCGTCAATGATAACATCATTAGTTTTTTTTTTTTTTTTTTTTTTTTTTTTTTTTTTTTTTTTTTTAATAAACCTCTCATATGTTTTATCCTTTGTCCCCACCGATTTTTTTTTTCTATAACTATAACTAAAGTAATAACCGTTGATATCATCTTTGTACACATGTCATTATTTCATTTCATGAGTCTTGATTTAACCTACAATGCATTGTTGCTCCAGCAACTGAACCTTAACAAATTGTTGTACAAGTCCAATCGAGAAATGCTAAAACTGATACATCTAACTTCTCTGCATTCTTTCGCTAAGTCCATATATCTTGTGAAAGTGACTCAGTCAAAAATCAGTGAAATATTGCAGCCCTGATGCTGTGAATTTTACATAACTTTTCAAAATTCCTGCAAATTATAGCATGATGTAAGGGCAGGGTCGTTGGGTTGCTTGTAACAAATCTGCATATGCAGTACTCTGTAATTCTTATTCAATGCACTTGCACACTTTCAGAAAATTAATTATCATTTCAGAACAAAAAGTGAATAGTTTGAAACCTTCTCAGCTTCTCTGCATGATTCTAAATATGAGACAGTTTCAACAACATTTAAGAATTCAGACAGTTAGCTGTAAGTTCATGAGCCTTATACAACCAATCTTTCATAATCCCTAATATCAAATAAAAAGATGGAATTGTCTATTTGTCTACCCAACATTCCAAAACAACAACAACAAAGCCTTAGTCTCTCAAAAAAAAAAAAAAAAAAAAAAAAAAAAAAAAAAAAAAAAAAACAAAAAAAAAACACTTGTTTAAGGAAACCTCCTCAAGTCAAGGAAATACAAAGACACCAATAGAAGTGAAGCTCATAATACATGATCTGCAGCTTTGGTCCAAAATGCTACCCATCCAATTATATCTAAGCATCTTCCCCATTTATATATTCAGGAAAATAAGGGGGAAATCTGCCCAGCATTATCTTCGATTCCATCCAGGCCTCACTTTCTTGACAAAACATACCATTTTCCCATCAACCCTCGCCTTAGAAAAGAAAGTCGCTAGATCTGTATCGTCTTCATCTCCACCCCAATTCTCAAGGGATACTTCAGTAAGGGCATGCTTCCAGCAATTGATAGGAAGAGATTTCCAGCAGCCACATTTCTTCTTGCCTTCCACTGGTTTCTCGTATGTGAACTAAAAAGAAAACAACAGGACCAAAATTATCATCTCAATCAAACCATGCTCTCCAACCCCATTTCCTATCTTTTTCATACCAACAAAACATGTTGAATCATTATAAGAATGAAAAGCATACAAATTACACAACAGATTTACACATTTGTTTGAACAAGACTAGATTCTACAAATTATATATATATGAGCCTTTGTGACACATGCAAGGTGCAAGGGACATATACTAGTTTAATAAGAAAAATCTCCTCCAAAATGCCTTAGCTTAACTTGCCCACATTTTTTTCACCCCCACAAAACAAATGCAAAACAAAAACCCAGGGGTAGGGGGGCAAGAAGCCTAGCAACAAGAGCAATGATATCATACATCATACCTCACATCGATGTACACAAACAAATCCCAGAAAGCACATAGGGACATCATAAGCCAAAGAAAAAATTAGTAATTATTTAAGGGAATCCTAAAACTAAATATTGCAATTTGTAGCTTTGTATGTACAAGCAGGTTCCAGACTGGTTATCCAACCACAACTGTAGATAAAAAATTTCTCATCCGTCATTAACGTACAATGGATGGCTACGACGCCATCCAGGTTTTCAAGCTGTCTTTAAACACAGCCTTAATTAAAAAGTGACAAACGATCTGCATAAATAAGTACATACTAGATGTACTCGCCAAAGACATAACAATGTGAGGAGGTGTGGTGAAACAGTAGGATTCGATTTAAGGATTAACACTAAATGAGTATCACACAACTAAGGCCAAGCACAAAGTAACAACGAATTTGCGGAGCCCTTAGCAACTTAAAAGTTAAAACTCCCACAACCTGAGACATGCAGCTTTCTTCCCTGTTATCCCCAGTGTTCCAGTTTTATATGCACAAAAGAAAGCTTCATTTTCTCAGTCCTTGTCCTATGTACCATCATAACTCAAATCATAAAGCACATAGCTAAATATGTGGTGACTTCTCTAGGTTGATGTACTACTAAAAAACTATCTATTTTTGAAGGAAAAAAGCTGGCTTGAGTTATTAAACAAAAATGTTTGAAATGTCCTGTACAGCCACATCCGAGATCCATAGGGGCAGTGGCGGTTCCAGTATGGGTCCAGTGGGTTCTGAACCATACTGGATTTTGGGAAAAATTCATAAATCTGATGAAGAAAAATTAAGTTAAAAGCAATTGCAAGCTGCAATATTAACTATACAATTCCGTGGTTCAGTGGTCAGATGTAGAAATGAATAGCACATACTCAAGCTGACACGCGGGTTCAATTCCCCTGCCTATCATATTTGGGTCTGTTTTTTTACATTTTACATTTAATAAACTACTAGTATGACTTTTTTGGGCTTGATTTGATTTTTTATGTAATATTATTTTTTCCTTTTCTTTCAAATCAGAGCATATAATTTTTAAGAAAGCCAAATTTTATTTGAACAAGCTTTATCAAAATATATACATTTAATATTTAATTCATTTTTGGATTTTATATTTGTTCATTTTTAATTGCAATGTTGCATTTTTAACGTTTGTCAATGCACATTTAATATTATCAATATATATTTTTATTCATAGAAATAGTTTATCAATATATTTAAGTATACATTAATTAAGGAAAAATGAAAATTAAAAATCCAACCTTTGCACTTTCTTCTCTAAAAAATCCAACCTTAAGTTTATTCCACAAAAATCCAACCTTTATACCCCATCTTCATCTAAAGATCCATTACTTGTTGGTGACTGGTTTTATAAGTTATATGCCACGTGTCAGCTTTTTATAGGTCTATTATTTTTTAAATTATTAAAAAAAAACAAAAAATAATTAAAAGAAGAAAAAAAAAAAAAAAAAAAAAAAAAAGCACCCAGCCCCCTTTTACAGCCTAAATGACTACCACTTCGCTGCCGTCCCAATCGGAACGGCCCACCGCCTTCCCCTCCCCATCCCCACCTTTTCTTCCCCGGCAACCCTAGAGACCTCCTCCCCGAAAGCACCACAATAATCAGCTCCAAAATAATCAGCTATTTCCCCTGTTTCTCTTGGCTGCTTTGCGATCTTCACCACTCAACCATCATCATTATCACGAAAATCGTCCAATTTCATTAATTCCGAACAATCTAAACTCGTGGTTGTGGTTGTGCGCGGGACTGGGATTGGTGGTGGGTGGTGAGGTTGCTGTTTTGTGGGCGATGAACGGTGCTGGTGTTGACGGTGAGGTGGTGGAGATGCGAGGTAATTGCTACAGTTGTGATTTGTTAATGTGGGTTGAAGTGGGCTGAATTGGTGATAGTAAGTTGGGTATGGGCAGCAAGGAAGGGAAGGAGGAGTTGGTGATGCAGGGGCTTTGTGTGGGGCAGGGGCTAGATGTTTCGGCGAGCGGCAGGAAGGTGGGTTGGGGGTTTCAGGGCGGCAGGAGGGTGCTGCTATGTGTTTCGGGGCGGCAGGGGAGTGGGCTGGGGGTTTCAGGGCAGCAGGGGGTTGTGGCTAGGGGTTTTAGGGGGGGCAGGAGGGTGGCAGCAAAGGGGGGAGGGGCAGTTCAGGTGGCAAGGTGTTTTTGGGGTGGTGGTTATGGTGGGCATGGAAAGGGGATGGGGAGGTAGGAGGAGAGTGAATAATTAAAAAAAAAAATCCATTTTAACCTGTTTAACAGGTTTCAGGTCAAATGGATCTGTTGGTGAAGATGGGGTATAAAGGTTGGATTTTTGTGGAATAAACTTAAGGTTAGATTTTTTGGAGAAGAAAGTGCAAAGGTTGGATTGAAGAGAATCTAACAAGACTTCAATGACTATATTTTTCCTAACACATAAAATACAAAATGCGGTACAAAAAGTGTACATAAATAGTGCAAAATTTCAAACGTTGTGAATAAAAAGAACTGATGAAGTATATCTAATGTTCGAAACTCTGAAGAGTCCGAACCCATATGTCCAAATTTCTGGAACCGCCACTGCATAGGGGACTTCCATCTCGACTCTTAGACTCCCTAAAACATAGCTAAGAATAAACAACATGCTCAAATAAGCCTTAAACTATAAGTATAATCACTGAACATCCTTCTTAAGAGCGTGAACAAAGTAAGGAAATTTATGCATGAAGTTTATTATTACACATCCAGTAAAGGCAGTAAATTTGAATAAATTTCTTAAACCATATAAACAATGAAAGTAATTAACCAAAATTCTTGTGGGGCTCTAAGTAATTTAACCTACAGCAAGGAGACATGTAGAAGAACAAATGTGAGCTCAACTCTGTGCAGTTCAATTAGATGAACAAATGCAAGTTAATTTTCTGTCATTATCGACTTTATCTTCTTAGCTAAATCATTATATAGGCAGCTGGACATATAAATGCTTTTACAAGGTTTATTACAAGTAAAAAGTCATTAATTAACCTCAAGTAACTGAAAAAACTTCAAATAAATAAGGCCATCTAGTTATATATTCTTATCAGAGTCACCACAACTTGTTTTCTGATTCGAAATGCCTATGCAACAATAGTAGCAATGCAGGACAGTTTGATTTTTACCAACTCTAATGTATAACTTAATCTGGATAATTGTTTGTGGTGGTCAGTTCCTTTTTATACTTCGAATTATTTTGCAATGTTACTGGAATACTACTACAGAAACATCTTTAAACATGAATTTTTACACAAAAATTCCAAGTTATGATTGTAATAAATATAGCAATATCAGCCTATCAGGACAAACCACCTAAAATAAACAGAAACATGAGCAGATTAAGTATTTGCCAAGATAGGAATACCTTAAGAAACTTGCAGACCGGATTAGAGTCGTTATTGATAGATAGAGACTCTAGGCATGATGCAAGCCAAAGAAGAGCTTGAACAAGTTCGACTTGAGTATACTTCAGTAATGATGAACGAAGCTGCACCACCAAATTTTTGACTCCATGCAGGGGAGGGCGGGATTCCATCCTCACTGATTCAGGGATCAGAAATTCCTTGTTTTTGAAATATCATGGTAAACAAAACACCAAAAAAAAAAGGTAGAATCAGCTAATAGATAGCATGATGGAATTAAATTAAAAACTTATCATGCAACCAAAAAAGAAATACAACATGAAAGAGAAGGAAAAACATTATTATACCTCTTCAGAACCAACAATAAGTTGTAACTTCTCACAGTGACGAAGCTTTGCAAGAAACTTGATGAAACGAACATACCATTTGTCACCTCTGATGTAGGGTTTTATGTAAATGCTTGCTTCGGTTAACTTGAGAGCACAACCCTTGGGTTTAATAGTCATAAGCTCACCATTCGAATATTGAAAGGATTTTAAATTAGGAGCATCAATTTCAACCATTTTAATGCGTCTACAGTAGGAAAACTCGACCTGGACAAGATGTTGATTTGAAACAGAAACATGTTCTAACCAATTGCAGCGATATAGTTCCAATTTTTCAAGGACAAAAAGATTTTCAAGTATCTGTTTAAAAACATCATCACCCAATTGAGCACCATGTAATCTCAGACGTCTCATCTTTGGACAGGCTAGCACCTTGATTGCACACGCCTGAGCATCAATATTGCGATCATTCAAATAGAAGAACTCCAACAGATTAGGTGCCTCAATCTCAATCAACTCAATTACATCAGCAGATGTCTCAAATTCCATAGTTAAGAGCTTATTGAGACCAGAGACTACAAATCTTGTAAACCCACGGCAACTTATGATATCAAAAACCTCGAGATTAGGACAAACAGCAGCTAGGCTCCCCATAACTCCATCATCCATATAAACATATTCAAGGTTTACCTCTCGTAAGGAAGGTAATTGAGCATCCACAAAACGAGACGAATTCAAATCACATTTTTGCAAGTGCAATTTTGTGAGTGAATTAGCACCCAATACAATCTTAGGCAAACAATATCTGGGTTTTTCCCGTGAACTAAAGTGCAATTTCAATACTTTAATACGACGCCTAACAACACATTCTAGCCAATGATCCAAGCGAGACTCCAACTCCAACCCGTAACCAAAAACATAAAGATCAAGCTTCTTGAAATCCGAACTCGACTCAAGAGCCCGATCAAGAAACCCATAAAACGCCTCCCTCTCCCTAAGAATTGCCTCTCTCTTCACTCTAGCACCATCATTCATACCTTTAGGCAATTTTTTAACCATAAGTGAGCTACGAAATTGAAATTTAAGTTGAAATTCACTCAATTTCAATTTTGGAAGTTCAGTCCACAACCCCCGCCAACTGCTCGACAAAATGCTAGATCTAACAGCATCATCAGCTGGCAAAAATGAAAGTATATGCCTTCTAATTGGTTCTGGCAAATCAGAAATTCTATCTAAATTCTTCTCCAAATTAACCTTCTTCTCCATGTTAATGTTCACCTAATGCAGAAATTAATACAAAAACATCAATAAAACGGCAAAAGTGAATTTTATTTGGATTCTTTTGTCAAAGTTACCTAATAAATTTCAGATTTTGTGAGAAAGTACCCAATAAAAAAATTTTACAAAAAAATATAAAATGGTAAGAAATTACCTGAGATAAAATATTGTAACATACTACATATGGCCGGATTTCCACCGTTGAACTAATTTTCATGCATTAACCCACCTCAAAACATCTCCTGAAACCACCGCTTCATCCCCAAAACCAACACACAACTCGCTTGAAATTGCCTCCATCACGCCGAAACCACCCTCCAACATCAAAACCACCCTCTTACCCCAAAAACCATCATCTCGAATCCCGATACCAACTAACTCGAAATATCCCCTAACAATCCCAAAAAAAGCCTTACCACCTCAAAAACCAACCCTCACGGTGGTTTCATGGGTGTTTTGAGGTAAGTTAATATAAGAAAATTAGGTAATGGTGGAAATCAAACCAGAGTTATTCCGTCTTTTACTACCTCTTATTAGGTAATTTCTCACAAAACCTAGATTTTATTAGGTAGTTTCTAACAAAAAAATCCAATTATTTAAAGAAATTATTTAGGGAAATCAAAATCATAATTCATTGATTGTATAGACAACAAACTTTAAGTGAGAAATGAAGAAATTAGGATTTTTATTACCTGAAAATTGAGAATTTGGGGAAGATGGATGCAGAAGCCAAACCCTAAGCAAAAATCATATTGCTAGATGTGTCTTTAAAAGTTGTAAATAAAACTACTAATTGTATTAGTAGTGATTTATCATACTCATTTTATAGAAGATTTATTAAACACCAACTTAGCCAAGAAGATTCAAATTAGTGGCTTTATAAAACTGTTGATTGTATTAGCTGTATTACTTTGCTAACCGATAATTGAGGGCTTGTTTGGCGTTACTATAGATTTCTGTTTTTTGATTTTTTGTTTTTAAAAACTATATAATATACTCCCTGCATTCCTAAAAGTTCGACTCATTTTGCAATTGTGCGGTCTTCAATAGACATCTTTGACCATGAATAACTCTGGTTGTGTATAAGTGAAATTTGTAAAATTTTGATATTTGGATTATTTTTAATAAGGGGAATCTAATTTATTTATAGTGTATAGCTCATAAAATGTGGTCTATTTTAACCACATGAATAGTAAGTGAGTCGAACTTACAAACAGAGGTAGTATGGCATGTAATGAATCAAAAATTAGTCAAACTTACTAAAAATCATGATAATTTTGAAAACTGACAATAGAAAAGAGGAAACACTTTTTTTCTTGTTTCCTATTTTTGGTTTTTTTATTTAAAAAAAAAATAGAAAACTAAAAACGATGTCAAACAAGGCCTCAATTATCGATTAACAAAGAAATACATTTAATACAATCAACAGTTTTATAAAGCCACTAATTTGAATCTTCTTGGCTAAGGTGTTCATCTTATTTATGCTGATCTGATCTGAACTTATTTTTTCTGATCTGATCTGAACTTATTTTTTCTGATCTGATCTGATTGTCTTATTTGACCAAACTTTGACCTTAAGTGTACGATAATCTATAAGGAAAAAATATATCAAGTGGGATCTTGTTAGATTCGTAATAATGTGTAGTTTATTAATATGTAATTTTCACAATTTTTTTCATTACGAAATTAAGAATATTTAGCGATAAAAAACCGCACATAAAACGATGTTCTGATATGAACTTATTTTTTCTGATCTGATCTGAACTTATTTTTTCTGAAATAAGTAAAAATAAGGTGAACTAAACAAGGCCTAAGTGTGTTTAATAAATCTTCTATAAAATGAGCATGATAAAATCACTACTAATACAATTAGCAGTTTTATTTACAACTTTTAAAGACACATCTAGCAGGATCAATTAAATAAGACACATTCGTTAAGAAAACAGTTAAAACTAACGTTTAAAAAAAAAATTCTTCGAATTTCGTGCTAAAAACATGTTCTTTAGAGGTTTAGGGGTCATTTTTGTCCAAAGGAACCGATTTAATGTCAAAATTTACAAGAAATAATTGAAATTGCCTCATTTTGCGTACTAAAAATAACTCAGTTTACGTGACACATGCAATATGAAGCATTTTCAATAATAATAGCATGTTTTTGGCATAATAGTCGAAGAAATTTATTTGAAGCGTTATATTTAACGGTTTTTCTTAACCGAAAATGTCAAGTGGTGGTGAAATCTATTTTTTTAATATTATATCTATCTCCTCTAATGGTTTTCACGTACCCAAACCCAATACTACTTTTTTTTATTATTTTTTGTCTCTTACATTCATTACTTTTTAATAAATTATTAATCAAACTACGTGTCTTTACAATTTTTTAATACTCTCACAACCCCATTTACCTCTTATTTTATTTAAATTAATTAAATTGCCTAAAACTATTTGCCGATTAAAGTGTAACTCTTATTAAACCACAAAGGTAGTATTAATTTATACTTTCATAATACTTCATATTAGATTTTTCAATTATACTTTCATATACTTCGTATTAGATTTTTCAAACATTTACTAATTGATGATTAAATATATTAGTATTTCAACTATTGCATTAATAAACTTAAAATTCTCTTTAAAAAAAAATTATTTTTACTAAACTTAAATTATTTTTACTAATTAAAATTTATTTTTACCAATTTATGATTGAATTTGTTCTTTAAAATTACTAATTTTAACTAAAATTAAATTATTTTTTGAACTTCAATCATTTATAGGCCAAAACATTTTATCTTAAAACATTTATATTTAGTACAAATAATTTAATTTTAATAAAAAAAAATTAGTTTAACAAAAAAATATAGGAAAAATAGAAAAGAATATCTTACCAATCTTTGGCCTTTCGATAACAATTCAACCTTAAATTTATTCCAAAACAATCTCACCTTTAATGTTCAACAGCCAACTCCTCCCACCCCACCAACACCCATGTCTTCCGCTTCCTGGCAGCCACACCCCCGTCTTCCACTCCCACGGCAGCCCCCACCAACACACCAATCACCGACGACACACCATACATGCATCCACCGTCGCAACCCCATCACAACCACCATAATCACCACCAATAACAATCACCAATTCGCCATAACCACCACCCCTCTTTCTCTATGCTTTTTTTTTCTGCCTTGAATATTTAATTTGATCTATGGATTTGTTCACCATTCACCATATTCAACCCCGGAAAATATTGTTGCTGCTTTGAATCTCTGATTTTTTGGCTCTTTTCCTTTCTTTTTCTTTTCAATTGAGATTTGTGGGATTTTGATGCCGTTGTTGGGGTGTAAGATGAAGGAGATGGGGTGGCGGCAGATGGTGGTGGTGTTGTTGGCGGCAATTTCGGGGTGGTGGTGGCTTTGGTGTTGGCCATGGAAGTGGGTGGGGAGGTGGGAGGATAGGGACTTGAGAAAGAAGAAAGAAAACATTTACCTGTTTAACAGCAAGTCATTTAGCTCCTTAAAACAAGATGGGGTCAAAGGTTAAATTGTTTTGGGACTTTTACCAAATTGAGTTTTTTTGGCAAAGTATTTACCAAATTGGTCTCGTGGCAAAAGTATTTCCCAAACTAAGCATCTAGGGTAAAACGCTGTCTCGAACAGCGTTTTACACCCAGTTTTTAAAAAAAAAAAATTCAAAACATAAAACTCTGTGTCAGACAGCGTTTTATGGTTAATTGACTTTTTTGTATGTATTTTGCTAAAATATATTGGAATACACGTATTTTGTGTATGTAAAAAGTAAAACGTTGCCCGAGGCAGCGTTTTACTTACAGCAAAAGTATTATTCCCAATTAAACGCAGCTGCAATTCGATATAAGTCCCGCAATATTGTACGGAGGAAAATGCTGCCTCATGCTGCGTTTTATTCTGTACAATAAACGCTGCCTGAGGCAACGTTTATTGGGTTTTTTTTTATAAAATATGAAATACGAAGTTTGAGAAAAAAGTCAAACAGGTAAAACGCTGTCTGAGACAGCGTTTTACTTCTTGGATTTTTTTTAAAAAAAATCTGGGTATAAAACGCTGTCCGATACAGCGTTTTACCCCAGAAGCTTAGTTTGGGAAATACTTTTGCCACGAGACCAATTTGGTAAATAATTTGCCAACAAAGCTCAATTTGGTAAAAAGTCCAATTGTTTAACAGCAGAATAAACTAGTTTTTTTTGGCTCGTTCTAACTTCTAAGTATGGGTTGTGCATACGTTATTACTCTATATTTATTTATTCATCAAAAAATTTACAAATTACTTGAATAACTTAAGTCGTTTGGTTGGATCATTTGGAATGAATTAGAATGCAATTAGAATCCATTCCATCTGATGTTTTATTTAGTTGAGGTTTTTAGTAATTGAATCTCATACCTAAAGGATGCCTGAGATGTCGGTAGGAGAAAAAATTCTGATATTTTTTAAGTGCCTCGATTGAAGGTAATGTTGTATAGGGGTAATACTCTGGATTAATACAATTTTTTAATCCCAACTTTGACCAATTTAATTTTATTAATCCCAATTTTGGATTATTCCTCAATAATCCCAACTTTGATATGGCCTTTCATTCCTCAAACCCAAAAATTGGGAACCGGCTAAGGAAGCGAATGTTGAGTCAACAAACCTCAATATTGACTTTGATCACCAATTCCCTCCTAAAATGATGTCCAGTCAGCATCTCCTTCCAACTACTCCTTCTTGACAAAATTAAAATCCCGCCATTAATACTCTGCAACTTTCACTTTCCCCCCAATTACGACCCATTGTACTTCTCTGAATCCCAAAAATCGCAGCGAGAAGGCGAAATTGTTGTCTAGGGTTTCCATTTGAGGAAGCAGCTCAGTTGATGAATGCGAAGCAGGGGACGCAAGAAGGAAGTAGAGGTAACCCTGAATTCGTAACTTTTTGGTCATTCTTTTGTTTAGTCAAGCAATTTCAACATACAATAATGGTTTATAGTTGTGTGAATTCTTGTTTATGAATTGAAAAATGCCATAAAAATCAAAACTTGGAATTACGGTTTCTTTGATGTGAATCTTGTTTATGAATCGAAAATGCCATAAAAATCAAAACTAGGAATTAGGGTTTCTTTGATGTGAATTCCGCAGCTGTTTGTGTTTCTATGTTGGTATAATGGTTGATTTATGTTGCGTTGTCTGTAGTTAGTAGTGTACTACTGTTTCGAAATTGAATTTTGATAGTGAAATTGTAGATTGAACATGAATACTAATTTTAACAAGATCAGCTTGAAGTTTTGGCATTCTGGGGCTTTTACTATAAAGTCTGATGGTGAATTGGTGTATGAGGGAGGGAAGGGTAAAACAAAGCAGGTTGACCCAGATGAGTTATGTGTGTAGGACATTGTACAGATGGGGACTGAGTGTTGTGGTGGGAAACATGTTGAAGCTGTGTTATATTTGACTCCTGGACTAAGTATGAGTAATGGTTTGAGGAGGATTAATGGTGATGAAGATGTGAGGGAGGTGACAAAATTAGGTGCTAAATACAGAGTTGTGGAGATGTAAGTACACCATGGTGCTGAGTCACCAGTGTTGGACCCCACAGACCCACCTGAGGTCCAAACACATTTTCAACTATTACCCCAAGAAGAAGAATCTGATGAGTGTGATTCCTCTAAGTCCCAGGAAAAAAAAAAAAAAAAAAAAAAAGGGGACCACCTAAAGGTAGTTTGACTCTAAGTCCAAAAGAAAAAGCTCCCACCCCCTCACATTTAATAGGTAAAGGTAATCCCACATTGAAAAGAACAGTTTCCAGCTCACCTAAAGTTAAATTTGTCTCTAAGTCAGCCCAGCTCCCTCCTTCCAGTACTTCTAATCCAGTTTTAGGTTTAAGGAACCCTCTTCTTTCACAACATTCATCCCAAACACAACCTCCTGTATATGAAGATTACAATTGGGTTGATGACAGACCTGAGTCTCCAATTCCCTTACATAAGTTAGTAGGAGGTGACACTGATATTAGTGAGGACACAGACCCTCCATATGATCCTAAGACTGATAAAGGGAAGGGAGTTGCAGTATCTAGTGAGAGGAGGGTTTTTGGTGATGTGTACACTGATGAGGATAGTGATGAGGACAGCTATGACCCTAAGACTGATAAAGGGAAGGGAGTTGTAGTAGCTAGTGAGAGGAGGGTGTATGGTGATGTGTACACTGATGAGGATAGTGATGAGGATAACTATGATGTAGAGAAGAAGAATTGGATGTGGGGTTGGAGCAGTTAGATCCAGAGGTTGAGAAAGAATATGAAGATGCAATTTTTAATGAGACATTACAGACAGATTCTGATGTGAGTGATGAGGAGTACAACACAGCTAGAGATAGGGTTAAAGCTTGTAGTTACAGTTAATTCAGGTTGCATCTAAAGTTATACATGAAGTAGCTGAAGGGAAACTAAGTATCCAAGATCCAGTGACTGAAGGTGAAAATTTCAGTGAATATGAGGACTCTGATGAGGATATGCATACACCACCTAGGAGTGAAGATGAGGGAGGTGATGGTTTGAGGAAGAGAAGATCTGCACTGCTTGTAAGCCCAAATACAGATTTCAGTCAATTCAAGTGGAAAGCGGGTTTAAGATTTGCCAAAAGGGAAGATTTTAGGGAGGCAGTTGCCAAATATGATGTGTTACAAGGTAAAAACTTAACTTTTGCTGTTGGGAACAAGAAGAGACACCAGAGGGTAGGAGTGAAATGCAGTAAAGGGTGTCCTTTCTATGTTTATGCATCTTGGCATTCAAGAAAGGCAGCCTTGATTGTGAAGAGGGTGAGGGGAGAGCATACCTGCCAGAGGAACATGAAGAAGAACAGGCAGTTGAAAGCTACCTAGGTTGCAAAATAATTCCTTGAAGTATTCAAAAGCAGACCAGCAAAGGAAATAGTGGAGTGCATTAAAAGAGCTTTCAAGATCATTGTGAATAAGGTGTTTGCTTATAGAGTGAAATATGTTGCCCACACTCTCCTATATGGTTCAATGCATGACCACTACCAAAAAGTGGGAGCTTATCTTGCATCATTGCAGACAAGCAGCCCTGGCAGTACATCTGAGCTAGTGACTGTACAACAGAAGAAGGGTCCACCTGTGTTTTAAAGATTTTTCATGTGCTTTGAAGGGTTGTCCAAAGGATGGATAGATGGTTGTAGGAAAGTGTTGGCTGATGATGCAAGCTTTCTGAAGACCTTTCTAGGTGGTCAATTGCTTTGTGCTGTTAGAAGGGATGCCAGTGACCAAATGTTCCCAGTGGCATGGGTTGTTGCTGAGGGTGAGAATAATCTGAGTTGGGAATGGTTTTTTGTGCATCTATAGATTGTTGGAGTTGGGAGATGGTGAAGGTGTTGCAGTCTTGTCTGATGAGCACCAGGCATGAACACTCTACTTTTATTCACTCTAAGCACAAATGTATCTCCAAATAATTTTTGTAGCTTATTACTTATTGCACTTACTTTGATGTTAGGCTATTGTGAATGTTGTGTCCTCTGTTCTGCCCAAAGCAGAACACAGGCATTGTGCCAGGCATATATTTGCCAACTGGCACAAGACATATATAGGAGATGAGCTTAAGTTGCAATTATGAAAGTTTGTTAAGTGTTACAACAAGGCAGATTATGATGATGCATTGAATGAGCTCACTGTAATCAATCCTGAAGCAGCTAAGGCATTCAAAGCCTATAATCCTAGCCATGCAGTTGCTTGCATATTCTTTATGAACAAAGAAGCAGAAGACTATGTGGAAAGGTGGTACACAAGGGAAGCATATCTACAGGCTTATGCAGGTATACACTAACTCTTCTCCTCTGTGAGACTAATTTACCAACTTCTACTATTAGTTTACCTGATGATGCTTCTATAAATTGACTGGGACAGGTTCAATTCCACCCCTTGAAGATGAGAGGTTTTGGCCAAAGGTGCAATGTAACACCCTAATAATTCTCTCTTTAAAACCTGTATTAACCTATAATACTTTTAATAACCTGTGAGAGAATTACTGGTGTGCTACCGCCACGTGTTGAAACGTTAAGGCCGGTTTCAGAAATCAGCAGTGGAAAACTAACTTAGTTTTAAAAAGAATATAAGTTTCAAAACCAAAAAGTCAAGACTCAATTTAGTCTTACAAGTTGGAACTAGAATGGCCCTTATTCAAAACCCAGTAAAATAGGAAGCGAGCAGAATTAGAGTCAAAATAACATCAATTTATGAAATGAAATAAGCTAAATGATTAACCAACGCTCCACTCAAATCCCATCACCCTGATGCAAATCAGTTTATGCAAAAACCTGAGATTAATCTGCTCCCCAATATTACAAGTGTAAGAATTGGATCATTACAGGGTCATTGAAGGCGAAGGCCATGACCAAGAGAAAACACACAAAAGCACGCAATCAGCAACGCTGAGTACATACAAGCTACGAAATATAGTAAAGAGTCTTAGCATGATACTATCAATCATTCCATGCACTCACAATATTATCAT